TGTCAAACGTCTTACTTTATGATAAATTTTAGTCTGTTATCTCTCAAAATTTCAGGATGTTGCTTTGTTTAGTCTTTTGCAAGCGTGGTTATGATTGAATACAATGATGCAAGAGCCCGTCGAAAATGCTGCCGGTGTACGCAGGATCTGTAAAAGGTCTGATCAGCCAAAAAGTAGAAACAAAGCAAGGCTGATTACTACGTAGAAAGCTTAACGGTACAAAGACATGATAGAGTCCAGACTGAAAGCCAAGAATTGCAACCGTGGACAGCTGTTTCGACCTTGTTGGGTCTCGTCAGCACGGTGTAGCAGAAAGTGAAGCAATCGGCTGGCTGACCGATCGTCCACCACTTGCACAATGGTAATGACATCAGATGAAACTCAAATCCAAATGTTTGCGAATTGGCCAATGTCATAACGTCCTTATCGCGACAACGACGTGATATTCTGGATTTTGCCTATTGTAAAATGGCACACGTTTTGCATGTCACATGGTCTAATTCGCAAACATTTGGATTTGAGTTTCATCTGAGGTCATTGCCATGTGCATTTGGTGGACGATCAGTTATGTTGTTGTTCCGTTAAGCTTTCTACGTAGTTATGAGCCTTGCTTTATTGTTATGATTGAAGCAGGTAATTGTGTAATTAAACGCATCAGCTTGCTCGCTGATACGATGTCGAAAGGCTGAAGGAGACTGGGAGGTTTCTATGGCAACCATGTTCTGACTGGCGGTTTTACCCTCTTTGCTCTTATTTTTCGTTTTAATCAAACGTAACCAAGTTTCGTTTAAAGTCTTTAACGTTTTAGCATCTTAAATAATTTTAAGAGATGATTTTGTCCCAATTTCTTGCGTCATGCAATCCAAGTTTTTTTTAGCTGGATTGTGCAAAGGCACAACGTTTGTTCTTTTAAAGTTTAGGCAAGGTAAACTATTTATACGAACCAAGTGGCGCGACAGGCCGACGCTAATCTCTGGTGTCACAAGCATGAAGTGACTAGGCGTACTTTTATTCCTCAACTGGATGAGATGCTACCCTAAACTTCGGAAAGTAAACGACCCTCCTTACTCTCGGAATTAGAAGTCTTTGGGGCTCGCTACTTTCGGGGGTTCGTTACTTTCGTAAGGTCGTTACTTTCGGAGAACAGAAAACGTTATATAAAGTTGGTACCACTGAGCACTTCTTCTTGTGTAAATCTAGTTTATTGCTGCCACATGGGTGAGCTCTTCATGTCTGGACCGTGTTGTCAGTGGTCGGCAGGAACGCTAGTCAGATACCATATAAACTGTTTGTACTTCGTGACGCACTGCTACATTAGTTTGCATTCTTGCTATTACTAGCTGTGGTTCGGTTCATTTTAATATTTTTACTTTATCTTAATATATTCAGTTCAGTATTCACCTTTAAGAGCCGGGAGGCTTGGTGAATGCGGTACTCTAAAGCATCGTTAAAACACGAAAAAGCGGCAATAATGCCGCCAAAATAATACCAACAACAATACCGCCAAAACTTGAGCAAATACTGCCATGGGTTAGCCTTGGTAACAGGCGACTTTGATAGAGTCCCGTCAAAAGATGAGTTAAAAGAATGATGCAGACTTCAACCGATTCTTAAACCATCAAATCAGTTGTAAATAAACTTGAATTATTCACAATCATTTGCTCTTACGATGCACATACGACCGAAAACCTGAAAAGGGTCGCAAAAAAGTGAAGGATAATATTTTCATATCATGCTAATGCCGTCAACGAAAAAGCTATAAACCAGACATAAGTACTGCGATTAAGGACTGGAATTATCGCAAATAAACGCATTAAAGGGCTACAGTATTGCAATACTTCAATTCCAAAAGCAATGTACCCCTCATTAAGGTTTAATTAATCCGAGGGTCTGATTTACCTTATCTATCTTGGCTAAATATTTAGATGGTGTTTACTCGTTTGTTTTAAAATTCAACTCCTAAAATTGAACTTTCGGAGATGCTCTCGACGGCGATTGTG